TCATACCTCCATCAGTATTTTTTAACTATTCAGCATTTTTGTGGAGAAAATGTATCTATATAGTCGCTAGGAATAAAAAAAAACCTCAATGACAGATAATCAATCAATGACATAATTAATTAATCAAAATGACTGGTTGGATAGCCCTGGTTTGTTCTCATGTGACATTAGCAGTAAATGCTTGCATGTTTATGAATGAGAACTAAATTAGGTCCATGTATAATTTACAGCAATGCACAGAAATAAATATTTAGGGATTAGGGCTCCCTCTTTCTTTATAGCAATTTGTTCAAAACTGGACTGGTGGTAAGACTACTTGGTCTCTTAGTAAATGTGAGCTTTGATTTAGCTAACAATTTCTTTGGAGATAAAACCAGTGATTTGGGAGCATAATTATTTTCAAGTCAAACACTGGTTGCAATGCAAGTTGGATCCAACCTTTGATCCTGGTTATGAAAGAGCTTCAGCTAATTTTGCCCCAGAAGCTGGAATCTTTGTTCTCTGGACAAGGACAGCACATCAGAAAGAGCACAAGCAGCTGTATTTGCATGCCAACATGGCCCTCAAGCTTTATTCCATTAGGAAAAGGGAGAAGAAACAAGGGCTATAGTCCTCCATTCTTTCCCCTTCATTCCAAGGGGAGATGAAAAAGTCCCTTAAAGATGCAGATGAAATTAACAAGTTCATATCCTCAGAAGATGGAGGCCTGCTAAATAGTCAGAACAGGCAGAAACTTCTTGGGGCAAATCTGTGCCATTGTGGTGGTTGTGCAACCACAGCACGGCACGAAATGCATTTTTATCCTACCATCTAGATTACTCCGTAATTTTGACTACACAATAAATCTGCCAGCCTTAGGCTCCTTCCTTCCAGATGGCACGGATGAACTCTGATCCCCGTGAGCCAGATTTGAAATTGTACTTAATCTTGGCACTCTGGAAAGGCAAGACTTGATCTTTTGACTAGAGGGGCAGGAGAGAGGGTTTATAGATAACAAAAATAAAGTACCGTTTTCTAGGAATGACTTTAAAAATGATAATAGTTTCAAAAAAGAGGGATGGTTGGGTAAAGAGCCAGATTTCAAACATGGTTAAACTTGCTTCAAGAATCAGCAAGCAACACCTCCTCTTGGGCTTTTATAAGTTTGCATAGTTGCTGACTAAATACCATGTTTCCCTGGTTTCGGGGGTCTTTCTTTTGACACCCAAAATAAGCACTTGGCTTTATTTTCAGGGAGATCTTATTATTTTTGTGGTGCACAAAGCGGCGAAGATGGTCACCTCATGGTTCCTGCTGTGTTGCAATATTTTCGGGGGGAGGGGCTTATTTTAACACAAGTGCTTAAAAGTGCGATTAGGCTTATTATCCGGGAAGGTCTTATTTTTAGGGAAACAGGTTAATTGTTTTCTAGAGAAAAGGTTTTCTTCTCATACAGTCTCTCTTTTTTGTCTCAGTCAAAGAGAAGATAGCTATATTGTCCTACATCCCAAAAGCTGTTGAATGTTTGTTTAATACAGCTAGTGGTGGGATTCAAATTTTTTTTTCCTGTGGGCGTGGCTTGGTGGGCATGGCATGGCTTGGTGAGTGTGGCAGGGGAAGGATACTGTGAAATCCCCATTTCTTCCCCATCAGCTGGGACTTGGGAGGCAGAGAATAGATGGGGGCGGGGCCAGTCAGAGGTGGTATTTACTAGTTCTCC